GTTGTTGTTGTTGTTGTTGTTGTTGTTGTTGTTGTTGTTGTTGTTGTATTTCTCCTATTTCATTTTCTTCTTCTTGTTGTTGTTCTTCTTTTTCAACTTTTTCATTTCCTTTTTTCTTCTTCTTTTTTTATTTTTGCTGTTGCTGATCTTCTTCGTCTCCGTCTTTTTAAATCTAGTTTTTGTCGTCTTTTCATCATAATTTATATTGTCATTTTCCGTGCTCAATCCCAACCCTCCCCTTTAGCTTTCCCGCCTTCTCCCACCCGTCCTCCCTTTCCCCTTTAGCTTTCCCGCCTTCTCCCACCCGTCCTCCCTTTCCCCTTTAGCTTTCCCGCCTTCTCCCACCCGTCTTCCCTTTCCCCTTTACCTTTCCCGCCTTCTCCCGTACCCGTCCTCCCTTTCCCCCTTTAGCTTCCCCGTCTTCTCCCTCACAACCCTCCCCTTTAGCTTCCCCGTCTTCTCCCTCACAACCCTCCCCTTTAGCTTCCCCGTCTTCTCTCACTTATCCTTGTGCATTCTCCTCATCGTACTACATGTGCTTTCTTCCTATCTTAGCGGACGTACCGTACGAGCAGAGCGAGGGAAGGGAAGGGAAGGGGAGGGGAAAGGAGGCGGGGGAGGGGTGCAGTCGTTTCACGCACGAACACCTGGCCTTAAAAAAAGCCTATCTCAGCCGCTATAAAAAAGCAATTAGCAGGTTAAGTGGAACAGGTGTGTCATGCCGTACCTGGGTATACACCCAGCTCTCTCTCTCTNCTCTCTTTCTCTCTCTCTCTCTCTCTTTCTCTCTCTCTCTCTCTCTCTCTCTCTTTCTCTCTCTCTCTCTCTCTCTCTCTCTCTCTCTCTCTCTTTCTCTCTCTTTCTCTCGCGCCCTTTCCCCTCCCCTCTCTTTTTCTCTCGCGCTCTTTCTCCCCTTCTCTCTTTCTTTCTTTTTCTCCCCCTCTCTCTTTCTACCCCCTTTTCTCCCCTCTCTTATTTCTCTCGCTCACTCTCTCGTCACACGGCTCTCAGACGTTAAGATACCACGCTGCATTGTCAACATCACACTCATCATCATCATCACCATCATCATCATCGTCGTCGTCACCTTCGTCACCATGGCAACAATCGCGCAGCAGAAGCAGCAGCTAGTGGCCATTACTCGTGCATGGTCGCCGCGGGAGACATTCAAGCGCCATTTTATATCCCATTTTCCCGCCATTTTTCCGACGTTTTCCCGCCATTTTGTCTCCACTTTCTCCTAGTAACTGCTAACACAATCGATTTTTTTTGCAGACGAACTGACCTTTTCGCTTGCAGCGACGCCGACCGAAGGTGTTTTTTTTTTATATAGCTTTCGCAATAAAATTCGAATCCGAACATCAGGGGAAATTCACTAGGCCACTTTAACAAGATTTAACGAGATTTCGGGCAGTCACGAAAGACCGAATGCGCTGCTAGTTACAACGTCACGTGATTTCTTGCGACCAATTAGATTAGTAATAGACGCAGCGGTTACACTCGCTCGCGGTTACGTCACGTGACTTCGACAACAACCAATCAGATTAGCAAACTAGACAACAGAGACTCTTTCCAAACTCGTTACACTCGACTGTCACGTGACCTTTGCAACCAATTAGATTTGCTAACGTAGAGCTAGGTTGTAGATGCTAGAGTAGGCTAGGCTAGCATTAGGCAAACACTCCCCAATAGAAGTATAATTCCATGACAATGTAATGATTTGGGCAGAAGACCAGCAGGTGAGTGACATTGCCCTGCTTTAACACGTAATGGTTTTACGCAATTTACGGCGACATCACAACATCCGGATTTCACAGGACGCGATGATTCAGCGCCATCTATCGACGCCACGAGGTGGTGCACGGAGCAAGACGTAGTATAGCGGCTTAATTAGTTATTAATTACTTAATTAATTGATAATTAATATTTTAAAATTTATTCGAATAATTTAGTTATGATATTATTTTACTAATATATATTCTCACGGCGATTACTTATTAATTATTATTACTAATTATTCGGGCTTCAGGTTTATTCGTTGTAACAGTATTACGTCGCATCTGTATCAGCGTCTGTCATCCGTATGCCGTACATGTAGACGGCGTCACATCCCTTCAGTAGACAAACCCAACGCCAACAAACAGAAATGTTCCAATGTTGTTGAAGACGCAAATTGCCAAACACAATCGAACTCAAATGTAAACGTCGTCATATCACTACAGTAAACAGTAGGACTATGAACACAAGTCAAGCAAATTTCTTTCAGCTCATAACAGGTGGCGCCACAACACAGTAAATCACACGAACACATGTTCACTTGTCACTCGCTCCTCATCGTAGATGGCGCCACAACACCATAAAACACACACGCACGCACGCACGCACGCACGCACGCATACACACCCGCACCCCCCTCACACACACACACGCCCGCACGCACGCACGTACGCGCGCACACACACACACACACACACACACACACACACACACACACATAGAGACGTTCTCTTGTCACTCACCTCGTCGCAGGCGGCGCAGCGCGGCTTGATCGTCTCCGCGTAGTGGCGCTCGCAGAACAGGTTGCCGTCCTTGACGCAGTAGGTGAGGTCGACGAGCAGCTCGTCGCAGCGGTGGCACACGAAGCACGCCGGATGCCACGCCACCTGCTCGCCGAACTTTGGCGCGAAGACAGCGAGGTCGCCCGCCTGCAGCGCCCCCTGGCACTTACGGCAGTCCTGCGGGTGGAGGAGGGGGATGTGTCGTCAGTAGCGTCGGGCGCGGGGGGGGGGTTGCCGAGGCGGGAGGGAGAGAGGAAGGGTCGAGGGAAGGGTTAGGATCATATATTATATAACAGGGAGAGGGGGAGGGTCGAGGGAAGGGTTAGGATCATATATTATATAACAGGGAGAGGGGGGGGTCGAGGGAAGGGATCATATAATGAGCATACATTAGGATTCCTACTAACATTGTTACAATCATCACAGAAAGCTGATACTCCATAATGATAACAATTCATTAGATATTCGGAACCCGATAAAGCGATGCGCATTCGATTAGTTAGTAACGTGTGGTTTCGTTTAATCGTTTTTCAGCTATAATAACATAACGACATTAGCATAATATTAATAAATGCAGCCAATTAACAATTTGCAATTTACACGCAATTTCGTAAGTGTGCACGAGGAGAAATGTCTGCTCTGATGTCACGCACATGGCGGGAACATGATACGTCATACAATACACATGATTACAGCCGGCGAACAGCCAACCTTGCTGTACAGTGTGTCCTTCACACGTACGCACGTACGCACATACACACACACACACACACACACACACACACATATACGCACGCACACACACACACACACACACACACACACACACACACACACACACACA